TTAAAAATATGTACAATAGTCATAAACAAAATATACAACATCATCCAAAGGGGTTTTATAATTTATAAGACAACTATAAAGGGATGTAAATGGTAATAAGATACCTACATTCCACTTGAATTGGTAAAATACTGATTTTAAGTATACTGTAAAAGTTTAAGTACATTTAGGGTAATCCCTTAAAAAAAGTAAAAAACTAGACAAAGAGATACAGTAAAAAACCACAACAGATAAAATACTAAAAAAAATGCTCAAGAAATCCAAAAGAGGGCAGGAAAAGAGAAATGGAAAAATGTAGAAGAGAAATCATACAGAAAATAATAAAATGGCAGTTCTAATCCAATATATAAATGCACATAGTCTAAATAAACCAAGTAAAATATTGAGATTATCAGAAAAATTAAGGCGTGGATCACTATATGCTCTCCGTAAGAAAGTCATTTCTAATGTAATGACAAAGATAGGTTAAAAGTAAAATGACAGATGGGATGCCTGGGTGGCTCAGCTGGGTCAACCAGCTGCCTTCCGCTGAGGTGAAGCGAGTCTGCCCCTCTCTCTCCCCTTGCCCTGCTCCCTGCTTGTGCTTTCTCAAATAAATAAATAGAATCTTAAAAAAATAAAATAGAAAAGACTTACCATACAAAAACTAATCAAAAGAAAATAATCCTAGATATTTATGTACCAAACAACAGAGCTTCAAAAACCAACAGTCCTAAAAAAGGAAGAATAGATCCATTATTACTGGAGATTTCAACATTGCTTTTTCAGTAATGTCACCGGTAGAAAATCAGCAAAGATAGAACTGAACAATAACCAGGAGAATCCAAACTCTTTTCAAGTATACATGGAACACTTGGCAAACAGACCAGATCTTATCTCCTAACAAACTCTAACATTTTAAAAGAACTGAAATCATACAAAATATGTTTTGATGATGAATCTGAAAATCAACAACTGCAAAATAACTAGAAAAGCCTCCAAAAGTTTAGAAATGGAAGAAATATCAAAGAATATTAGAAAAAATTCTGAATTGAACAATAAAAATATAACAATACTTGTGTGACAACTTATAGCATTAAATGCTTTTGTTAGGGCAGCCCCGGTTGTGCAGCGGTTTAGCGCCGGCCTGCAGCCCAGGGTGTGATCCTGGGGACCCGGGATCGAGTCCCAGATTGGGCTCCCTGGTATTCTACAACACAAAAACCTATAGTTAATTAACATCATACTTAACGGCGTAAGACTGTTTCCCCCACGACTGGAATCAAGGCAAGGATCTTCCTCTTCTCAACATTCTTTTTCAACATTGTATTAAGGTCCTCACCAGTGCAATAAGGTAAAAAAATAAAAACATTAGGGAGAGGGGCAGACATTCTCTCAACAATAAGAGGATAAAAGATTCCTTAATAATAAAAAAGGAAGATTTTGACAGTGGTAGAAAGAATTATTCTAGTCCAGCCTAGAGCCTCTCTTATGTCTCATACGTTTCATTCCAGAGAGTTTGCTTTGTATGTTAGGATTCTCATCATGATAGTTGTAATCTTTGAGCAATGAACACTACTAATAAAATAAGTGGATTAAAATAGCACAAAAGAGTAACTAGAAAAAATTAAATAGGTGTACATGTATATAGATCTCCAAATGTAAAATACAAGCCTTATAATAACAGTAGTCAAAGATGAGAAAAAAAACAGCTAAACATAAAAAGTTTAAAAATTCTATCTGGAGGGGCACCTGGGTGGTGGTTAGTTAAGCATCTGCCTTCGGCTCAGGTCATGATCCCAGGGTCCTGGAATGGGGACCTGCGTGAGGAGGTCAGTGAGGAAGGAGTCTGCTTCTCCCTCTGACACTCCCTCCCACTTATATTCTCTCAAATAAATAAAATTAAAAAAAAATCAATCTAGAGAATATTTTGTATGCAGAATCAAACAAATCTGATCAATACCTTCATATGAGGTTTGCAAAGGACTTAATTTCCCCAAATTTAAAGGATAAACATATGCAGGTTGAAAGTAAAAATGAGATTACTTAATTATTTATTATTATTTAATAATTATTACTAAGACATTTTTAGTCAGACTTAGAGAATCAAATGCAATTTGATTTGTGAAAAGTCAGGATCCCTGGGTGGCGCAGCGGTTTAGTGCCTGCCTTTGGCCCAGGGCACGATCCTGGAGACCCGGGATCGAATCCCATGTCGGGCTCCCGGTGCATGGAGCCTGCTTCTCCCTCTGCCTGTGTCTCTGCCTCTCTCTCTATCTGTGTGACTATCATAAAAAAAAAAAAAAAGTTAAAAAAATTCTCTGATTTGTGAAAAGTTAAACACTTTTCAATTTGAATTCTTAGAAAAAAACACGTTACTTTTAGGAAACACCACGGATGTCCTGACATGTTGAGTCTTTTTTTTTTTAATTTTTATTTATTTATTCATGACAGAGAGAGAGAGGCAGAGACACAGCAGAGGGAGAAGCAGGCTCCATGCAGGGAGCCCGAAGTGGGACTCAATCCTGGGACTCCAGGATCACACCCTGGGCTGAAGGCAGGCGCTAAACCACTGAGCCACCCAGGGATCCTGGAGCTTTATTTTTTAAAGTACTTTTGAAACTTCAAGAAATGTGAATTTACTCTGGCTACATTTTTAAGTCATTTGTAATTTTACATTTTTTCATGATATAAATTGTCTCAAGATGTTTGATCATTTCAACTGACTGCTACAGAAGAAATAATTTGCAGTGTTTCCTTACTTTTAATTTTACATACCTTACATTGAACATAACCTAAGCCTTCTCTGCCCATATTCATGTTTAAAAAAAAAAAAATCAAATCTCAGAAACTTAAGTGCCTCCCCCAAAACTTTTTGGAATATAGGATTGGGTAGGGAGGTAAACACATATTTGTATAGTTTAGCCTAACAACTCCCAAATAACTTTTAATTTTGTTCACATTTAAGAATGAACTTATCTTCAACAGACCTAATCTAATTATGGAACCATTTAAGGGCATTGTGAATAATCATATCATTTATAGGTATTAGAGCAGAACAAATTTGGGATTATGTAATTAAATTACCATAATTATGCTCTTAGGACATCTGCTCAGAAGAGAGGTTTAACACCAATGAATGACAAGTAATATACTCCAAGACCATTACAACATTCTTCAACAAATTCAGCTTTATAATGAGATAGCTTATAAACATATCAGAGAATATTTTTAGACAAACTTCCTGTTTCCCTGTTATATCACAAACAGGGGAAACCTAATTTGCCCCTCTGCCAAGGAACTTTTTCAATAAGCCAACAATTTTAACATCATGACCATCTGAAATAAATTACTTCTTTATTTTTTTTAAAGGTTTTTTTTTTTATTTATTTATTTACGATAGTCACAGAGAGAGAGAGAGAGGCAGAGACACAGGCAGAGGGAGAAGCAGGCTCCATGCACCGGGAGCCCGATGTGGGATTCGATCCCGGGTCTCCAGGATCGCGCCCTGGGCCAAAGGCAGGCGCCAAACCGCTGCGCCACCCAGGGATCCCTAAATTACTTCTTTAAATGGCAAGCTCCAGCCTAGTCACCAGTCTCCTTCCTTATTGTATCCATGATTATTTTAACATGATTTTCCTCTAAGGGTCTTCAGATTGAATGATTAAGATTTTATTCACAGAGACACACACAGAGAGAGAGAGGCAGAGAGAGAAGCAGGCTCCCGGGACTCCAGGATCATGCCCTGGGCTGAAGGCAAGCTCTAAACCACTGAGCCACCCAGGGATCCCTATTTATACATTTTTAAAGATTTTATCCATTACTCACGAGACACACTCACACACATACACACACACAGGCAGAGGGAGAAGCAGGCTCCATGCAGGGAGTCCAATGTGGCTCTAGATCCCAGGACTCCAGGATCAGGCCCTGGGCTGAAGGCGGCGCTAAACCGCTGAGCCACCCGGGCTGCCCAATATTCTTTTAAAAAGATGCCTATTCCATAAGCTGTTCTTCCCTTTTCTGAGGACATATTCAAATCATTTTTAGATGTTCATTACTTTTATATTTTCTTGTCAAAATGAAGATAGTGTTCTTGTATTTCAAAGATCAAATCACATTAGCATGCTTAGGAATAAACTTTGTTACTGGGCTTTAAAATGCACAGAAGACAATTTAGTAGTACTGGGGTTGTAAAGAAATTCTTAGAAAAATTCTACTTCCTACCTAGAGTACCCTTTAAGCTCCCTCTGCTGGCTACCATTTAAATAAAGTAGGAAAAAATGATTATCTTTTTTTTTTTTAATTTTATTTATTTGAGAAAGAGAGAGAGAGAGAGGCAGAGACAGAGGCAGAGGGAGAAGCAGGCTCCATGCAGGGAGCCCGATGTGGGACTCGATCCCGGGTATCCAGGATCATGCCCTGGGCTGAAGGGGGTGCTAAACCTCTGAGCCACCCAGGCTGCACCCCCCCTTTTAAGATTTAATTAATTTATTTGACAGAGCGAGGTTTCAAAGCACAGAGGGAGGGGGAGAGGGAGAAGCAGACTCCTCGCTGAGCAGAGCCTGATGAGGTACTTGATCCCAGGACCCCGAGATAATGACCTGAGCAGAAGGCAGACACTCAACCTACTGAGCCATCCAGGTGACCCATTTTTTTCTTTTGAGAGGTGATGGGAGAGCAGGATAAGACCAAGAGCACTACTGAAACTGAAAGGAAAATTCTATTAAGGCTAAATCTAACTGATGGCTACCTTCCCTAATAAGTACGGCTTCTGAACTTTCTTTTTTTTTTTCTGGACTTTCAATCAGATTCGGACACTGGGGTGGGGATCAAGGGTACCTGAAATAAGGGAAGTTACTGTCAAGTTTGAATATTAAATTGATATGCCAAAATGCAAAAGCATTTAGTATAAATCAACTATAAAGTTACCATTTATCACTAGAAAAAAATAAGAATTTAAATATATTTCATAAACTTCATAGAACAAAAACTTATACCACAGTATTAATCTATTGGTTTCAATATTAAGGTTTATTTATTTTTTTTCCAGAGTGAGGTTAAGTAACAATTTAAATAATTATCAGGATGTATAAATGAACATCCATTCAGATAAAACATTACTACTTAAAAGTGGCTATCTAAGAAATATTTTGTATGTAATAAATATATTTTATGTTTAGGTTAACAGGCACCATCTTGAGAGCAGAAAAGGTATTTTAAACCAATAAATAAATTACATTCAAGAAAACAAGATGTTTATATCTGAAGTACGATATATCCCCTTAAATGTTTTTCTTTATATAGCACCCAAACTTCCCAAATGTCTAGAAAGTATCTCCCAAAATATAACTCATACCTTAAGTCATAAAAATAAAGGCCAAGAAAAAAATCAATTTAAGACAAAATTTACGATTTATATTCTTAACTCCCCATTCAATAAAATATCAATTGCCAATTTATTAAAAGTAAATGAACTGTATATATGCTTAGTGCTGAAAATCTGAAATATAATATTCTTAAAAGTCACTCTTTCTCAAAGTACTTAAAATATTGCATCTCTGGTGGCAAACCTGAAAACTATCAAGCATTTTATTTCCCTCGTTTTCATTCTTCCACTCCCACCTCTACACCTTTATCCTTTAACAGCCATCCATTGTTTTTTGTTTTTTTTTTTTTTGTTTTTGGTAAATATATTTACTTATATCCCAAACACAAAACACTGACAATACTCCTTGGTAAACAAGGAAATCCCAGAACGGTCCCAGCCTACAGCTTTGCTACCAAAGTGTGGCACAGGCTAAATGACAGGGGGAAAAAAAAAACAAAAACAATCAATGGCCCTTATTGATGCAGTCAGCATGCTCCTGAGAGTCCTCAACTGTTAGAGAGTTTGCTGATGTAATCCTGAAGACAGCTGCAATACACTTGCAGACAAGTATCAGAGAATAAGTCTTTGATTGATAATTTTTCTATTTATTTCTGCCAAGGCGACTGAAAACACGAAAGCCTTTTCATCAGAGAGGTTAGCATAGATGTCAATTTCCTTTTCCTGTTTCTCTGTTAAAAGAAAAAGAGAAAGCTAATGTAAATGAGGTAATTAAAAAAATACATGAAGCTTTCAATTATTTCTTTAGATGACAATAAATATACATAATACTAGCAACATACATGAAATGTTATATAGTATCATCCTACTAAAACTAAAATTTTTTCAAAACTACATAAAGGAGTTACTGAAATGCCATGAACTAAATGGAAACTATATATGTGTGTGTGTCTGTGTGTGTATATATATATACAGTCTATAATATCTACATCATTTCTGTAAGTCTCAAATATTTCTTTCTCTTCACTAGGATGAGTGAGCTCACTGTCTCAAATTTTCTCACCCTAAAGATGGTCCCCTCAACCCCCCTCCAATATGCCTTTATGAATATATTAACTTCTTTACCTTAGCCCTGCTAAACAAAATAAGAATAACCAACATTTAATTCTATTTTTTCCCCTCCTGATTACAAATGTAATCCAAGTTCATGGTCGAAAACTGAGAAGTACAGAAAAACAAAAAAGGATAAAAAAACACCTATACTATGTTATAAGCCAGCAGAAATCACAATAAATATCTTTGCACACAATCTGCCAAATTCTTTTTTTTTTTCTTGCCAATTTCTTTTTTTTTTTTTGGGGGGGGGGTTCTTCTATGATTGTACTTTTGTCTGTTTTGTTTTGACTTTTTAATCAAAGTTAAACACATATCTAAATAGAGTCAAATTGTAATACAGAAGTCCTCCCCCCAAAAAACCTCTCACTCCCCAAATGCAACTACTTTTTCTCAGTTGTTTCTTCTTGTTTTTACCTCTCTAAGCAACCTTTTTATGTGATGCTATTTCTTGGTTTTAGGCATTAATTGACCTCCCACCACAGAAAGTTATAATTTTATTGTTTTCCATTTCTTACCCCCTAATATACTCTTCCTATCTCATCTTCCCATTACGTTATATCACAATTTTGGTGAGATCAATATTCAATGTTTACATTATTCCGATTATGTAAATGATTTCACTTTTCCTGCATTGTTTTTTCCCTGAAGAGATTTTTTTTCATCTGTTTAGTTTTCATTACTAATTGAACCCAAACTCTCTCCAAGTTGCATAGATCTTTCAGAATGCTTACACATACTAGGTATTACATCTATTTTATCTTCTTGAAATCTCTCCAAGTCTTCTGCTCCAACCTAAAATGGTTGCTTTCTAGACCTGCTACACAATTATCACTGAGATTGCTCTTCAACATCATGCTGGATATAAACATCTTTCTCTTGAGTTGAACCCTGTGTCCAGAATCTCAGAATACTTCTTTTTGGTTTACTTCTTCTTTTGATGCCATGTATCTTGCAGTAGTTTCCTGAGAAAGAGAGTATAGGCAGCAAATTTTTTGAGACCCTGAATGTTAGTTAGAAAGTGTCTTTAGTCTACTTTCATGCTAACGCATAGTATGATTGACTAAGATTCATGGAGATCGGAGTATGAAGGCAAAAAATTATCTTCCAACTAATGGTGCCATGTTTTTTTAAAAAAAAGCCAATAATTTTTTTCAGTTATTTTAAAAATTATTGCTAAATTCACATACAGTGAAATACACACATCTTAATGTACAATTGGATGAGTTCTGACAAAATATACATGTGTATAACCCACACCACAATCAAGATACAGGAAATTCCTCATGCTTCTTTCCAGTCAGTACCTCTCCACCTCACCAGCAACTACTGTTCTGATTCTATCACCACAGAGTCATTTGCCTGTTCATGGACTTCATATAAATGGCATCATATAGCATGAACTGTTTTGTGTCTAGCTTCTTTCATTCAGTATGTTTTTAAAATTCATTGATGCTGTTCATATATAAGTAGTGTGTTCCTTGGTGGGTAGTATTTCACTGCATTAATTCCAAGTACCACTTTGGTTCTTTTCTCGCTCTTTTTCCCCTGAGCCCTTGAAGGAGTTTTCCTTTAATAAAAAAGATAGGATTTGTGATGATATGCTTTGGCATAATCTCTACTTTTAAACATCCACTGGTCTCAGAATTTGGTGGGCCATTTCAATGTGGAAACTCAATGTCCTTCAGGTTTGGAAAATTTTCTTGAATTATTTCATCGATGACATCTTTCTCCTCCATCTTCTCAGTTCTTTTTTTTAGAACATCAATAATTTATAGATGTTGAACCTTAAACTGGTCCTTTAAATTTCTTATCTTTCCCATTCTATTCTTTCATCTCTTTTCCCTTTCCTTTTTTTTTTTTTTGAGAGAGAGAGAGAGAAAAGACAATCCTAAGCAGGCTCCCACACTCAATGCAGAGCCCCACATGCGGCTCAATCTCACAACCCTGAGATCATGACCTGAGCTGAAATCAAGAGTTGGACGTGTTTTAACCAACTGAATCACCCAGGCATCCCTTTCATCTCTTTTTTATTTCTCTACATTCTGGTACAACTGCTTCTTTCAATAAACCTGTTAGTGTTTCATTTCTGCAAATCTTTATAAACACACATTTTTTTTTTTTAGATTTGTATTTTAAAGTTCATTTTATAGGTACTTTTTTGACAGCTGCTTTTCCATTTAAATATCTTCTTATTCTCGTTTCACGACTATAATATCTTCTCTTGCTAAAAACATTAATGACAGTTTTAAGTTTTTCTTTTTCCTGCAAAAACCTGTTTTATCCAAGTTATTGTTTTTTCCTGTTAATATGGTCTTAGCCTTTCATAGAGATACTTTCATCTATATATCTGGGTAATTCTTGATAATATGCTCATATTTAAGAATGGGATCCAAAAAGCTGATTAGTTCATATACATCTGTGGAGTTTGACTGTGATCACCAATTTAGGATGATCTGACTGGGCCATTTGTCTGTGAAATCCCTAATGAAAATACCTTTATTTTAGGCCCTTTCTCTTAGGTCTTTTAGATTTCCTAGAGAAGATACTGCTAATCTCCTACCTGGATGATCCAAACCTAACCACAGAACTCGGTATTTATCAACTCTAATTTTCACATAACCTTCCTGATCTCAGTATAGTAGCCCTGCCCTCAATGACGCCTGGGGTTCCCTAAATCAGAGTTGTCTCATCTTTTTGAAAGGATACATTTGGAAGGAGGGAAAATGAGGTAAACAGCCATTAAAAAACAGACTTCCAAACACTCTCATTTTTAGCCTCATCTTCACTTCTACACCTCCAAATATAATTGACACAAAAATTCCTGATCTTAAGGCAGTTGTATAATAAAAATCTGCTTCTTTTTTAGTTTTCCCCAAAGGGGCTAACAATTCAGGTTTCATGGGTCTACCAAAGCAGTTACCGCTTTCTAGAATTCTGCTGCTTTTCCTTGTTCTTGTGGAATTTGGTCCTTTTTAGTTTTATTTTTTTTGAATTTGGTCCTTTAAAAAAAAATCCTTTTACTATAATATTACTAGGATTTGAAGATGATGGAGAGCTAGGTATTGTTATTTGATCTACCAACATTAACTTGAACTCTACATAAATCTTGTATGTTTATTAAATTAATAAGATTTCCAGAATTGCCCACTATATTTTAATCTAAATGTCATTCCTAGTATTTAAAATAATTTAAATCTAGTATTTGAAATAATCATAGTTCCCCTTCATATAAAGTGAAAATTTATCTTAACCCAACCAAAAATTTTTAAGTTTAATGGTTTGTTTTTATGATTGTATAAAAATATGCTGCTATCTAGATGTCTAAAAAGCTTTCCTTTCCATTCTTTCTTCTTTCTCTTATTTTTTAAAATATAGAATACAAAGTCAATTAAAAATGTGTTTTTATACACTCCTTATTTAAGGTAAAGCTTGCTTCAAAGTTTCCAAGTACCTTATGAGCAAGGAATCAATAAAAACTGAATTAAAGCAAACAGCTACTTAACAGTAAAAAGCATATGAAAGAAGTCTAGATATGTAAAAATACAGAAGATTTCAAAAGTTCCTGTTTCTTATCCATATTATATTTAGAGAACATGGTCTGCCTCAAGGGTTGGTAAAATACAGCCCAAGGTCAAATCTGGCCTGCCACCTGTTTTTATAAAGTCTTACTGGAACACAGCCATGCCCATTCATTTACATATTGTCTCTGGCTGCTCTCCAGCTACAATGACAGAGCAGACAGAGTAGCTGCAACAGAAGACTGTATGGCCCACAAAACCTAAAATATTTATTATCTGGCTCTTTATAGAAAAAGTGTGCTGACTTCTTCCCCACCCCGCCCCCATAGCCTACATGAAAAGATTCCAGTTTTACAAAAATTGCCTTGAACATCTTCCTGTTTGTATTAAAAATAAATCAAGAGCACATCTTACTCTAGAAATAGCTTAAAACTTTCTATAATAAGCTGAAAATATCAGACAAAAAATTTATAGCCAACTAGTTTAAGTTAACATGAATAAAAAGTTCAGACCTGCACACACAGATTCCTAGCACAATTATCTAGATTTCATTTCCCCAACTAAAAGACTGTCATTATCTGTTTTCTCATCTCCTCTCACTCACCACCAGAAGCATTCCTTCTCCATTCTTTGGGTTATATTCCCTTTACTTCAACTGAAAAGAATGTTCTGTTTTCTGGGCCAAGCAGTATTTCTCTGTTGTTTGTTTTGTTTTTTTCTGTTGATTTTTCTTTGCCTGGTTTCCCTTCTGAAACAGTTTTTAGTTTCTTTGCCTGGTTTCCCTTCTGATCATCCCATGTTAAAAAACACATTTAAGTTTAGAAAAAAATTTAAACTCTCTGGAAGAGCAGCATAAGAGAAGGAGAAAGAAAATGCAGTAAAATTATCCAAGGAATTAAGGCGTATCTAAGTATTCTTCAAAGAAAACAGTCAAATATGATATAAGCCTTATTCCTTTATCCATACAATACTAAGAGACCATTAACTCTGAAAAAGCTAAGGACAGCTATGCCAGGGAAGTTATTTTCCCTAACAGTCATAATTTTATTCAAATAAAAGCATACAAGGCAGAGAGAAATGGTAAACAGATAAAAAAAATAATGTCTAAAATAGGAGAAATTTATACTTATGCTTGAATATTTAAAACTGAATACCTGAAAAAGCAAAGCAGAACCCACCAACAAGAAACTATAAATGTATTTCACTGAAGATGAAATTATTTTGATAGAGGTTTTTAAGTAATTATAAAGAGCAACTATCACTTTTTTCCATTAATTACAGGCTTGGAAGTCTCAATTTCAAAAGATATTCATTCATGGCCATAAAGGGGTTCATTATCCTAGTCTAGTCTCCCTACTCTTGTATCATCTTTGAAATCTTCCATGATAAAAGGTTTTTTAGAAGATGTATAAAAAGAGAAGCTGAAGTTTTACTTAATGGTTAAAAACAAGTTTTGGCAGACATACTACTTATCAGAAGAAAGGAGAAAATCTGTAAGGAGAAATACAAATATATTTTGGACCAAGAAAAATTTACATAAATAACTGCCTCAAAGTAAGGAAGACACAACAGCAATTTAAAAATCCATACTGAAGAATACTTTCAATAGTAAATTTTTAAAATTCATAGTGCAACAGTTTGAAATAAGTCTAACAAAACTCAGATTTATCTTTAAAAACAAAAAACAACCATTTTAACAGGCTTCTCTATAATACAAATTATTATATCTGAACTCTAGTATCAGTTTATAGCAAGGTGAATTTTACCTAATTTGAGCCGTTAGCTTTAGAATTCAATTCTGTGTTTTTTGTTGTTGTTTTTGATTTTAAAACAAGCATCTACCCTGGAGGAAATGTTTTCAAACTAAAATATGAGTTGTGATTTTAAGTCCAAGAGCTCAATGCCTACCAAACACCTTCTTCACTACTACCTAATTAAAGTCTAGAAAAATTTAATACTTGAAAAACAAAACTGCTTGGATTTATTCATACCTCTTTCTTCCTCATGTTTTTTGGCAGATGCAGTTTTAGGTCTTCCTCTTCCTCGTCTGATATGATCTGAATGGCTGTTACTTCGAGACCTCTTTCTGTTTTCTAAATCCTTATTTACTGTAGAATTTATCTTCTCTCGCCTAACTCTCTCTGTTCGCCTCCTCTTGGCCTCATGCTTGTTTTCTGTATGGATGAATAAAAGTGATATATTTTAGGGCTTAGCAAGAACTGTTTGCCCAAGTTCTCATTGTCTTCTTTTTCTTTCTAAATAGCACTAGAGTTTGCTGCCTGGCATATTTTATAAAACTACAACCGTAACATCCTTGTTCCTCACACCCACACAGGAAAAAAAGAAATTCAACAGAATTCAGATCCAAATTAACTCAGGAGGTAGGAAGAATTGTAACAGAAGACCAGTTTCTTTATTTGGCACCTTTAATTTCAGCCCCTACACGTTCACACAACTTCACAGCAATCTTTCTGCCTTTTTCATTCTCTGCTTCCAAGCTAAAAATGGTAAAGTATTAGCAAAGGAAAAAAAAAATTCCATTCCTTTTTGCCCCCTACTCAAAATACAGACTGAAATACGTCAAATGTACGGAAGCAAAACTGACTTTAGCCATAATACATTAAGGTTACCAATAAAAAGCAAACAGAAAGCATCCACAGAAAATATAAAAACACTAGGGAAGTAATAAGTAGTTTGCACTTTAGCCACAGATGAGGTCATTTCTGACATTCTCCAAGCATGCAGATCTCTAAATGAACAGAAAAAGGGGGAACTTTACTCAATATGGTGATTTAATTAATGCAATAAGCCATCCTTCTACTCCAAACAATTCAAAATGCTGGAGAAGGCCAAAACAAAAAACAAAAAACAAACTTGCTTTAATATATACCTGAACTCAAAAGCAACAAAGAAAATCCCCCAAATGCCTAAAACCACAATGATAAAGGGCCAAAACATATAAAATTCATATCCCAAGAAGAGACCAATTTAAAAAACTTATAAGTATGCTTAATAAGCTAGTGTAAAACTAAAAACAAACAAAAAAACTGTTTAAGTAAAATGGTAATGGTTATTTCCAAACATCATACCCAGAGAAGTAGTTAAATCTAATCTCAGACATATACCTGATGATGCAAGAACACTTAAGTATTCAAGACTGCAGGGAAGTTATCAAAGACAACCAGGGTCTTGTTAAAGGACTCAAGGGGTAACTTGAAAAGGCTCCCACTGACCAACGTAGGACAATTTGGGCATCAATACAAACAGTAACTGTAATAACAAACTGGAACATCAAATATACTTAAAACTACAAGTATGTGAAACTAAATTTTAAAAATACAAGCAAAAACTAAGGAACTCCCTATTTTGAAAACTTAAATAGAATAGAAAGAACAAAGCATTTATCCTGCCTTTTCTATTCCAATTGTACTATTCACTTGGTAACCGAAGTACAGATAAAGAGAGGTTTGTCATTTAATTACTGTGGCTAAAAAATGAAGAATGATAAAATTAAAGTATTACAACTTTCTTTCTTTTTTAAAAAAGATTTTACTTATTTATTTGAGAGAGAGAGAGAGCACAAGTGGGGGAGCAGGGCAGAGGGAAAGGGAGAAGCAGACTCCTTGCTGAGCAGGGAGTCTGACCTGGGCTTGATCCCAGGACCCCAGGATCATGACCTGGGCCGAAGGTAGATGCTTAACCGACTGAGCCACCCAGGCGCCTCTATACTTTTCTTTACTTACACTGTCTTTGCAAAATTTTGGTATTAGGATATTAGCTTCATAAAACAAATTTGGAAGTGTTCCCTTCATTAGCTTGCATTAATTCTTTAAAGGTTTGGTAGATTTTTCTAATGAAACCATCTGGAGAAACCTGGAGATTTCTTTTTTGGCTTTTTAAAATTATGAATTCAATTTCCTTGATAGTTGTAGTGCTGTTCAATGACCTATTTCATATTAGGTCAGTTAACAGATATAGTCATAGGTTACAGAGCCTTTGTGAGTGCGCACCTCATTGGTCCTGAAGGGCTTTCCTGTTTGGTGGCAGTGGCAGCAAGTGGCTCCTGGTGCACCAGGTATCACCATTTTCAACAAAAATGAACTAAAGGATATAAGTGCTAAACATAAATAGCTGTTAATATTACAAAAACAGAGACAAGCAGATTTTATATGCCACCTGACAATACCTACCTGTTAGGTAGTCTTACCAAGAAAATCAAATCCTATCAAACTTTTGAATCCAAATGACAATTTACAGAAAAAATAAAAGTCACTAGAGGAGTGCATTATCCTACATTCCTACACCATGGAAAGCCAAATAGGACATCCAGATGTACACGTGATAGCTTCTTTAACACAATTTGCAAGGAAAAAAAAAAAAAGAAAGAAAACAATAGGTAAAAGAGAGCTAAAAAAGATATTGCCCATATGTACTGTGAAGACCTTAAAACTTAAAAAAAAAAAAGTTTTTATGAGAAACCTGAAAATTTCAGCACCAGTTGGGTATTTTTTTTTTTTAAAGATTTTATTTATTTACTTGACAGAGCGAGTGAGCACAAACATGGGGAGCAGTAGGAAGGAGAAACAGGCAGGGGGAGAGGGAGAAGCAGGCTTCCCACTGAGCAGAGAGCCCAATGCAGGGCTCATTCCCAGGACCCTGGGATCATGACTTGACCAGAAGGCAGACGCCACTGAGCCAGAAGGCAGACGCCACTGAGCCACTCAGGCGCCCCACCAGTTGGGTATTTAATATTAAGGAATTATTAATTTTAATTGTGCTTATATTTTCAATGGGCTGTCTTTTAGAAACATACATAACTGAAATTATATGAGATTTGCTTAAAAAATATGCAAGGGAAGGAAATAGACATGGGCATGAATGGGGCCAGGTTTGGCCATTTTCCTTCTACTCTTGTGTATGCTTAGAATTTCTCAAAAAAAAGAAAAGTTTAAAGGAATAGGTAAAGCTTTTTATAGTATGCCTTTTAAAGTTCAACAATGAATTTAAGTTTGTTCCTCCAGCTACCCACCCATCTCTGCAAACTTCTATTAGCCAAACTTCTCAAAAAAGAGCTCTCTGTACTTTCTGCCTTCAGTTTCTACCTCCCATTCACTAATCAATCCACTTCAATATAGCTGCCCACTCAATGAAACTGATCAAGAAGGACAAAAATTTGTTATCAAATCTAACAGCACCTCCCTTTAATCACCTAAATACCAGCTCTCAAAAACCCAACAAAGAGGACTACTCTTTTTTTTAACGCATTCTTCACTTGATTTTTCAGGCTTCCAGGTTTCCCATCTTACCGTCATTCCTCTCTAGCTCCTTTGCTGTCTTCTCTCTCAAGTACTTTCTCATCTTTAATATTAAAGCCCTAGGCCTCTGACCTAAGCTCTCTTCTCTGAGAGATAATCCATAGACCTAAAACATTACGCTCTGTTATGATGGTTCCAAATTTTATACTTTCAACTAGGACCTCTTCCCAAAGCTCCAGACTGCCTGACAGTTTCACTCTATTTCTTACAAGTATTTCAAATGTACTAAAAAATTACTCTTGATGTTCCCTCCCGCAAAGCTTCACTGCACCACCCGTTTGCAAAAGCCAAATGATTTGTAGTTATCTGTGACTCAGGCTGCTGCTTCTTCTATCATCACAAACATCCACAGGTACTCCTTGCAAAATATATCCATAATTTCTTCATCTCTCTACCTCTACGGGCAACATCCAAACTGAATATATTTCCTTCAGAGCTGCCAAAATTATCTTTCAAAAAATTCATCTGTATAGCTTCCTTTCTAAAATCTTTCATTAGCTTTTTATTGTATTTAAAAATAAAGTTGAATTTCCTAACCAAAGACTACAGTGCCTATAAGATCTGAATTTGCCTTTCTCCAATCTTCTCTCATACTACAACACTTTGTTCACTACGCCCCAGACATGCCTTCCTTTCAATAAACAAGCTCCTTCCTCAAGTGTCTGCATTTGTTAATCCTTGTGCCTAGAGCTCTCATCCAAAAATTCTGAATGAGACTACTTATTTACTTAAAATGTTTATAGGTTACCCACCTCTGAGTCTCACAGCCCAAATTTCTTTTTATAATCTACCTTTATAATCTGTTACTTACTTATGTGCTCAATCCTCCATTAGAATATAAACTCTGAAAATTGGGATGCCTCTGTCTCACAGAATCTAGAACATTACCTATACATATTAAGTGGTACTGAATAAATAAAATCAGACTGAGCACATGCATCTGCTTCCTCCTTTCTGGAAAATCCCACTGAAATGAAAATAAACATAGGTAAAAGGTAAAGAGAAAAAGGAAAGTAAATCTCTCGTGATGGAAACAAAGAAAGGATGCTATCAATCATCCAGAATTTCAGCAAACCAGCAAGCTCACAGGTTCTGATTAAGAAACCAGAATAAGAAAAAAAAAAAAAAGAAAGAGAAAGAAAGAAAGAAAGAAAGAAAGAAAGAAAGAAAGAAAGAAAGAAAGAAAGAGAAACGAAACCAGAAGAGGGGGCACCAGGGTGGCTCTGTTAGTGGAGCCTCCAACTCTTAATTTCAGCACAGGTCATGGTTTCAGGGTTGGGGACTCAGTCCAGTGTCAGGCTCCAAGCTCAGCAGGGAGTCAGCTTGAGATTCTCTCTCTCTGCCCCTCTCCCTGCTCATACTCTTTCTCTAAAATAAATCTAAAGAGAAGAAGGAGAAGAAGAAGGAGAAGAAGAAGAGGAGGAGAAGGAGGAGGAGGAGGAGGAAGAGGAGGAGGAGGAGGAGGAGGAGGAGGAAGAAGAAGAAGAAGAAGAAGAAGAAGAAGAAGAAGAAGAGAGGAGGAGGAGGAGGAGGAGAAGAAAAAACAACTAGAAATAGAAGACACTACAATCCAAAACATAAACAAAATATGGCTTCTATCGAAGGGAGAGCTGTTCTTTGTGAAAATACTTCAGAACAGGACAAAAACTACAGTAAGGGAGGGCAGGCCACAGAGTGATCATCAGAATATCTACAGAACTACAGCAGAACAACTGACATAAGGAAGTGAAACTCTCAGGAACCAAGTAATGTTCAAAGGAACTATGAACCTTCAAAACATAGAAGATACAAATAAATGGCAGCTCCTCATAAAAATGAAATCCTATTAGGAATTTCACATTTTCTCCCAGGATGAAGGT